CATACCTGGGGTAATGCTCCAATGGTGGATTGACGGTGGTGCTCGTGTGAGATAACGGTGATGCTCCTGTACCCGACGACGATGGAGACAAAAACGAGAGAAAGAAAGAGCTAGAGGAGGGCAGAGGCGTGAGAGAAAGAGAAAGAGAGAGAGTCATAGAGTGAGAGACACAGACGTATGAGAGAGTTAGAGCGTGTGGCAGTGTATTTTTTAAACCTAGTTTATTTTCTTTCCCGACTAACTTTTTTAGTCGCCAATAATAAATAATAAATAAAGGTATTTTTTCACACTAAGTACTTTAGTAGGCAATTAATTTTCCTTTCAAAATTTGAAGTCCAATTTTTAAATTTTTTAATTATCATTGGTGACTAAAATTTAGTTGCTAAAAGTAAATTAATGCCAACTAAATTATTTTTAGTAGTTAAAGATTGTACATTTAGGGATCAATTTTTTTTTAGTCGCCTATTGAGTAATTTTTTAGCGACTAAGTCATTTTTTAGTCACCTATTGGGTAACTGTTTAGCTACTAATTGTATTTTAGTCGCCTATTGGGCGATTTTTAGCGACTAACTATTTTTTAGTCGCTAATTGGGTCACTTTTAGCGACTAATTGTGTTTTTAGTCGCCAATAAATAATATACGGCTACTAAAAAATTTTAGTAGCTAAAATATGAAACATTTCCAACCAATACAAATTTTAGTCACTAAAGGGCTGACTTTTGGCGACTAAAATGCCAAATTTGGTCTCAAAAAGTGCAATTTCTTATAGTGACTGTGTGAATAGTGTGGTATATGAATTTGGGGTTATAAATGGGTTATAAATTGTTTGTATGTATATATTATTTTGATTATTCATGGAGACACTGCTTGAAATTAAGGTTTTAGTGGTGTTTAAAAACGCCGCTATAGGTACCAAAAACGCCATCTAAACCTTTTGTGACGTTTTGCACCAAGCGCCGAAGATGCAGCCGTCGCTATAACTTTGTGACGCTTTAGAAACGTCGCTACAAAACGCCGCTAAAAGTTCCACTATGACATCACGATGCTATTTAGCGACCTTTTTAAAACGCCGTCGTACTCTTTTTGAAAAATCTAACCATTGATATAATATTTAGCGACGTTTTTAGAAACGCCGTGATAGCCTCTTTTTTTTTAAAAAAAAAATTTGTACTAATTTTATATGATTGAACTAAAAAATCTGAAAAATAACACTAACATGAAATAATAACTTTCATTCAAATATCAAATACAACATTAGTTCACTTTCCCATTCAATTTAATATCCAATCACCATTAATCACAAAATAACATATTCACAAATCATGTTTTAACAAAGACATTAACCGAGAAAGAAGTGTTGAGCTATAATGATTGATCCAACTTATACAAGAGATGGCAAATTACTACCAAGAAAATTATCCCCAACTCAAGATATCACCAAAGTAAGAAACTATTGAACTTCACTAGATTGCATTTCAAAAATCTATTCCTGATTGTAACATAAATTTCAAGTTTGGATGAGTTAAATTCAAATTGATTCAAATTGATGAGAGAGTTCACTGTTAGTCTTCATTGGTCTACATACCTGCATCAGAACATAAATTACAATCAGATTCACCAAAATAAACATAAATTGAAGAATTTGTAAATTTAATTTTCTTAATCACTTGATTGCATTTATTTATTTTTAATTGTTTAATTTTTTTGGTAGAGGTGGTTAGAGTTTTGCTTTTGAAGACTAACAGTGAACAACATTTGGAAACCATAAAACCCGAGTTCAAAATATCAAATGCGTTGGATCAAAACCGGAAATGCTATATTTAAAATGACAACAACAAAAATGTGTTATTTTGAGTGGTGTGGTGGAGCAATACCCTAACACTATCGAATAACTTATCGACGGCGGCCAACCTTGATTGGCCAGGACCAACATACAAGCTGTGGTTTATGAACACCTAATAATTTCTCCCATTCCCACCACGCGTTGACCTTGGAAATCCACACCACAGCTGTCAAAAGTCCCCATTCCCATTACTATTCACTAGTGGTACCAGTACCCAAAAACCAACAACACCCCATTAAAACGCGCGGAAAGGATCAACCAAACAAAACCATAGCGTAATAAAAGCGTTTCGGACCATCATCTTTTTTGGAAAATTTCAGAGTCCTCTGTAGGTTGTCGTCGTCATCATCTTCTTCTTCTTCGCTTTCCATTTCGTTTCATACACGTCACATCTCTCTCTCTCTCTCTCTCTCTCATATAATTCCCACATTTTACTTTCTCGTTCTCATCTGGGTTTTCCCTTATTTAAAGCTAAAAATCTTATCTTTTCAATATGTTCAAATTCCCATCTCTCTCTCTCTTCTTATGGCATTGCTCCACCGCTAGAGAATGCTTTGCTTAATAAACTAAAGCAGCTCAAGCACAGAAAATGAGAATACAGAACACAGAGGCACTATCTTCTAAAAGTAAGAATACATGCAACCAGACATATCCGAGGCAAAAAACTATACACAGAAAATGGGGTCACTGAAAACAATTTGGTACGGCATGGCAGACTCCAACTAATAGCACAAATACAAAGCAGCACTTTAAAGATCATTTAATCTTCTACATGCTCAAGAATTCCCCAATCCTAAAATGTATTTCAAGAAAAATTAAGAGCTTGATTGGAAACAAATTATTGATAGGGAGTATGAAGACGACCCTACTTATTGGTGTAGTCATTGGTCTTATTTGCAATGACTGGCCACCTCAACTCAATCTACAAAGGACATGGCTGTACATGATGACACAGAGATATATATGTTGTGTGTGTGTGTGTGTTTTCTTTTTCTCAGTTATCTTATATGCCTTTTACATAAGCATTTAAGAAGATCAAGTTGAATTTTCTTGTAACCCTTCTTGACTAAGTAAGATAATTGCAAGTACATCCATTTTTCATAATACCATAACAATTTTATAGAACATCATAATAAATTAAAAGAACAAGGCTCTTTTATTGAAGCCAGAGTATGCTCTATAAATGCAATAAGCTCTACATGAGTACCATGTAAATGAGATATTTGCAAAATATGATTGCAAAGCAGTGACAGATCCACCAGGCGGTCAAGAAACTGCTCCAAAGCCAGGATTCCATAAGCAAATACCTAGGAGGGGAGAACATTATTAGCTTTCTATTTTATTTTATTTTTTAAAATTTATTGCAAGCTAAAGATAAAAGCCAAACATGAAAGATTAAAAACTCACTTTTGTGTCTGGAGGTTTACGCAATGCTTCCAACACAGTATGTATAGCTATACTAAGTGTAAGATTACTCAGAAGCTTATGCTTTATTAGGGAACATGGAAAGTAATCAAGAAGCATCAGGTTATATAAACCAAAAAAAGGTAAAAGACATTCATTACAACAATTCTTTTCCTGATTAATATTGGGTGAACCTATTTCCAGACAAATTTTGGCAAGGTCCAAAACAAAATACAGCCTTGTCAATGCATCAAACAGATGTTGTACTATGCTCTGGAACCAACCAAAATAGCTTTGGCAATAAGGTCAGTGTTAATGTTTATTGTTTAGTTGCATATGTTCAAAAGTCATAAAACTAGCAAAGCAGAGAATAGAAATTGGGCTGCTTGGTATCATTTTTCATCTTATGCATTTTTGTTTTTCATGTTCTCAGAAACAAAAACAATTAAAATAATATGACAATAATAAGATTCAAAGAATTAATAAACTTATGAGACATTTAATATGAATTGTTATAGTTTATGTAACCTTCTTTAGCCATAATAGCTTGTTCCATGGACTGAACAATATCCTCAAGCAATGGCACTCCCATCTGGTAGTTTAATGCATTACCATAACCCTTTAATATGAACAGCTCCAAATCATCTGTCCACTCCAGCAAGACAACCTAAAAATGTTTATATTTGGCAAGTTAGCAAGTGTATAATGAGCAAGAAACAAAGCATGAACTGATAACATACATAATTTGCACTTATCAGTGGATAACATCTATAGGAACACAATGGATCCCATGATATGTAAGTACCAAAGCTAAATACCTCAGATGGAGTGAACAGAGCACACGCTTGATCAGATATTCAATAAGGATGCTTCCTGCCAAATTGAAAATTTGAATGAACAACTACAAAGGAATTGCAATCAGATAGACTGTTTAGAATTCTCAGAGAAAGAAAATGAAAGAGAAGAAAGGAAAGGAAAGAAACAATCACCTGTTTGCACAAAAACCAGAGAGAAGATATATCTTGTCTTGTAAAATTCAGATTATAACGCCCCACTAATGCATGGGTAATTTCATCCAAGGCAGGTTCCTTAAGCTTAAGAACACTAGGCTCCTGACTTGTTCTACAGGCCTGCATTCAGAGATATACACAATAAAACCAAAGAAGTATCATGTGTTGTAAAATTTAGCTCATAATGCCTCACTAATGCATAAAATTTCATCCAAGATAGGTTCCTTAAGCTTATTATCCAGCAGTATAAAGTTTAATTTCAATTTCCTAGTTGATCAGAATTGATAGGTATAATTCTTTGTATTTCATCTATTGCATGGAGAAAAGAGTAGAAATGGAGGAGAAGAGTAATGGGGAAGAATAAGTAGAAAAAAGCTATAAGAGAAGTAAGCAAAGCCATAGTGTTTTTTATTACTCGTCTCACACTTGTTTGGAAAATAAAACACATAATCTGATTGCTCCGTGCAATATATATGTATATTTGATTCAAAACTGTGGGCCTTTCATTTGGGATTCAAATTCCCAATAAATAACCCACATACTCTGCATTCTTTCCCATAACAGAATCAACTATAAAGTATGTAAGATTCAAATTTTGTTTACTCAGATTCAGAATATGGTATCCACAAACCTAATATATGTATGTAAAGACAAACAGATACAAATATATGTCAACATTTATATGTATTATAGATACAATACAGATAAACTACAAAAGGGAAAATCAGATAAACTACAAATTTGTCTATCACTACAACTAGATTTACTAGGTTTTTTCTAAAAACTCCTTCAAAACACTGATTGTAAACAAATCCAAATCCAGCTGTAATGCATACTAAAACAAGTTTGGAAAGAATTGACTTTCAGAAAAAGTTACAAGTACGCATTATATTTGCCATCATAATTAGTTCTTTCATTCTAGTTTTCTCCGAAGAGTAGCCTCCAATACGTTACCATTGCTCCTGCAATAACTTGTTCGTTTAAGAACCGCAGCAAGCTGATTTTTGCGCAAGCTGACCACCTGCAGCCCCTTGCTCCGGTTGATTGATTTTGATAGTTTGAGGCTACTGCAAAACACAAATTGTAAGTAGTTTTCATCACTTTAGAACAGAGTGACCCCAAAGTGAAATTCTTAATTAAAAAACAAGACACGTGTCATGTGATTCAAATACCACTGCCCTGGAGTCAGTGTCAGTGAGCCTTTGCTTTACATCCCTAGCTATTGAAAAGAAGACTTGCTCAACATTAAGATTTGTCTTTGCACTCTGTAAACGGCAACTTTAATCAGTAAAAAGGACACGGTTGATAAATTTTTTAGAGAATTTAAGTGTGTTGTACTTACCGTTTCAAAGAATTTAATGCCATATTCATGTGCACGTGCTTGGCCCTTAGAGGTTGGCACAACCTACATAGATTTTATGAGGAGAGATTTCCAGGTTTGAGAGGTTCACAAGCAAACTTTGAAATGGAACTAAATTGAAGACATGAGCTGAACTAGTAGAATTGAAATCAAAGGCAATTTAAGTGATATAAAAAGAAGTGAAGGGGAGCAGGGGCTCACACACACACACACAGAGAGAGAGAGAGAGATTTAAACAAACCACATACCCTTTTGCTTTCATCCATATCAGCCTTGTTCCCTACCAGTATCTTGTTGACATTATCAGAAGCATGCTGTTCAATGTTGCGAATCCAGTTCCGAATGTCTGAAAAAAGTGGGAAGCAAGGTTTTTAAGAATCAATAGAGAACACAAGACAATTTGATGATAGTAGTTCTGCAAGCCAATGCAAATCCATTTACCCCTGTGACAGTAGACAATAAAATATGCAGAAAAATCTATTTAAATTTTGCACAAAATATTTGTAGAAAAGAGTCCAACTAGCAGAGGTTCAACGAAGCATAAAGATGACAGAATTTGTAGAAAAGAGTCCAACTAGCAGAGGTTAAACTGCCTGATTAACACCCCAACTGTGCCCTTCTAAAAAAAACACACACACTTCAACTGTGTATCTGTACTTCCAAAATTTGTAATGATAGTCCTCTCTTCAAACTTTTGTTTTCATATGTTACTAATGACACTCACCTTCCTACACATATTTATGCAAGGAATTTCCATCCATCAAACAATGCACAAAATCTTACTATGCTTGGAACAACACCAGGTAATTCTATCTTACTCAACTTTCACAATTTTCTTTCTAAACTTTCCACAGATCTGACATGTTTTTTGAATTCATCTTGCATTATACATTTTGATTGCCGTGACTTACCAATGCGTTCTGATATTAACCCAGTCTTACAAATAGCAAACCTTGGCCACCAATGGTTGCATTTGTAAATGGTGAATATATAGGTAATTACATGAACACAGGCAAACAAATGTTTGTTTTGTAGCTCTGTGATCTAATATGTATTTTCAGAATATTGATTCACAATTATGGTTAAATTTTTGTTGAACTATCATCTTTTTTGGCCCAATATTGTGTCCTATTTATCCAAATTGTCGTATGAAAATTCGTGTAGAAGTTTCTTTCAGTTCAAAAAAGAACCTAACAGATCAATTCAACAATTCAACAAACACACATATTGATGTATACAAATGTTATACATGCAGTAAAATTCGAAAGAAATAGAGAGAGAGAGAGAGAGAGAGAGAGAGAGTATCGATTAAAGTTCAGTAAATGAGGATCAAGTCAGAATGCCTCTCTCTGAATCTCTGAAAATGAGGTTCAAGTAAGAATGCCTTCAAAACATTGATTTCATAGATCTAGAGAGAGAGAGAGAGACGGTGGAGCTCGCTACCTCGCCGGTGCAGATGACGGTGGCGATGGAGGTTCGAAATCGCTCTGAATCTCGAAATCAATCTGAATCTTCCAAATCGCTTCGAAATCGCAAGTGCAGATGGAGCTTCGATGAAGAAATGTGTGTAAATGAGGATCAAGTCAGAATGCCTCTCTCTGAATCTCTGAAAATGAGGTTCAAGTAAGAATGCCTTCAAAACATTGATTTCATAGATCTAGAGAGAGAGAGAGAGACAGTGGAGCTCGCTACCTCGCCGGTGCAGATGACGGTGGCGATGGAGGTTCGAAATCGCTCTGAATCTTGAAATCAATCTGAATCTTCCAAATCGCTTCGAAATCGCAAGTGCAGATGGAGCTTCGATGAAGAAATGTGTGCGTATAAGGATTGACAGAGAGAGAGAGAGAGATGTGTGCGTATTCAAGCTAAGACTCAGTGTTATATATTCAAGCTTCAAGAACAGCCGATTGATCTCCTCCGTCTTCTTCATCGCTGAGAGAGAGAGATGTGCGCGAAATTGCTTACACTTTGGACTCAGATTCAAAAATAAGGGTTTCATAAAGGGGCACATGTACCTACAGCATTCGGACGCGCTTTTAAACGCCTTCAACTAGAACCGGTGCCGTTTTGGTTTTAAAAAATATGCGACGGTTACAAAACGCCGTTAAAAATTAACAAATGTGACATTTAATAAAACGCCGTTAATTGCCTCATTTCCTGTAGTGAGACTTGCAAATCCCTTTGCTATAATGTGGGGTTTTTTTTTTGTTCTTCTTTTTTACTCTCTCTCTCTCTCTCACTCACTCTCTCTCTCTTTCTCTCTTCTTCTTCTTCTTTTTTTTTTTTTTTTGTCAACTGTGTGAATAGTGTGGTATATGAATTTCATTAACATCATACATGGTTTATGAATTTGACTAACTGTGTAAATAATTTATAAAGCTACAATGCCTATATATACATATAAATTATTTATATTGTAATATAGGTTTGATTTTATATTTAAATCGTATGATATGATATATTTAATATTTTTGTAACTAAATATATAATAGATTGATCATTGAATGAACCAAACACTACCTAATTCTAAGCACATTGATGTAAATATAATATATATACATATAAATTCTTTATATTGTAATATAGGTTTGATTTTATATTTAAATCGTATGATATATTATATTTATTATTTTTGTAACTAAATATATAATAGATTGATCATTGAATGAACCAAACACTACCTAATTCTATGCACATTGATATGTGCTGGAGAGAATAAAAAAAATAAGGAAAAGGGGAAATACATGTCTTTTAACTTTAAATTTTAATACATAAACTTTTTTTTTTTATAGTTCATGCAACCTATGACTTATGTTTGATTTTTATTTTTTTATAGTTCTACACTGCACAAATTTCTTTTTTTCCATGTGCAAAATGTCACTTTGCTATTTTTCAAAAAGTTGGAAGTATACAATTTTTAATTGGGCAAATTACATATACACCCCTCGAGGTTTGGTTAAATTACAGATACCCCCCTGAGGTTTCGGAAATTACATCCCGCCCCCTGAGGTTTGTATTTTCATAACAATTTACCCCCTGAGGTTTATATTTCATAACAAATTACCCCCTAATTTCTTATGCAAATATAGCATTCAGGGGGGAATTCGTAATTTCTCAAACCTCAGGGGGGTATTTGTAATTTAGCCAAACCTCGAGGGGTGTATATGTAATTTGCCCTTTTTAATTTTAGTTCATAAAATAAAAACCAAAAATTTTCAACTTCAATTTTTAAGTTGAAGTATACAATTTTATACAAGTACACAACTTTAACTTTAGTTCAATTTTAATTTTAGACATGCAAATTCAATTTTTTTTTTTTAACAATAAAGCATTGTTTAATGTTTTCTGAATTTTTTTTTTACTCATATTCAGTTGTTTGGTTGAATAAAAAATAATTTTGCCATACTCCCCAAATTACAATTAAAAATTACATAAGTCAAATTTTTTAAAAAAACATTCAGAATTAGGTTTTAGAATTGTTATTTCTGCTGCATTCAATCTATATTTCATTTTTTTCTTGAGTAATGATATACGCACAAAATTTGTATACAAAATATTAAACAAAAGTAAAAAGTAAAAGGGAAAAGAAAAAAAAAATGCCTTAAAATGATTAGTTGATTAAATATTTTTTAATATTATTAACATCACCTAAATTAATTTCTTGAAATTTTCAAATAATCAACCATGTTGTATATTTATATTATTCATACCATATAGATACTCTCCAACCTTTTAAATTTATGTTCTTAAATTAACTCCTAAATATTTTCAAATCGTTAAAAATATTTGTGCATAAATTATAAAGTTTATAATGCATGTATCGATATGTGCAGAACTTAAATATGTATAATTAAAAGTCGATATTAGCCTTATTCCTTAATAATACTACCAGAGAATGCCATGCACCTATCAATTAGTTGTGGAAATCCCAGAAAAACTCCTTTCTTTCTGTAGAGAAAACTTCTGTTCCCTTCTGAAGAGCTTGGTGTGTTTGTTGTTTGCTCTGCTGTGAGTTTTGTTTTCGCTTGGTTGCTTCTTGTTTTCTGTGTAGGAGGTTTGACTTTAGTGTTGGTTTTGAGTCTGTTGGTTCTTACACGTTAGGTGGGTGTTCTTAGTGTTTGTCTCTACTGTCAGCTTTCCCTGTTGAGTTTGGCGCCAGAACCGGTTGTTCGCAAGGTCAACTGTGCTTTTGTGGAAAGTTTGGCAACTACGCAATCAGCATGTCGGGCTATATCAGGGAAGGAGGTTGGACTGATAGTAGTGACACGAATACAAAAATGTTTAAGAGCACTAAAAGTAGAGCTCTAATGAGAGCTCTACTTATGTGGCCGTGAATCCATTCATGAATAATTTGATGTATGTTTTTTTTTTTTTTACTCCATGTCACATCAGTAAAGCCATTATTAGAGCTCCAAATTTAGAATTATAAATCATTACTCCACAGAATATGACAGTGAATAATCAAAAGAGGTGCGTAGTCTTCCCATCCCAGTTTCCATAACCATATAGGTCCTTATCAGCCTCGACGAGATGTTAGTATCGCTATGTCATCGCAAGTTTGGGAGCTAGGCATTTATAATTTTCAATTGTGTTAACCCAAGGCATGTAACGCACTTGGTAAAGGCCTGGGGGTTAAAACTCTAGGTCTCAAGTTTGAAACTCCTTGGGCCTATCTCCGGGGCGTAGCACAGTTGGTTAGGAAGTTAATCTCAAGTTATTGTTATCGCAACACTTGGTGTAGATTCAATACTTCCTTGCTGCCTGAGTCTTGACTTAAGCAGAATTTGTCTTAGGAGGTCGGGACAAGTTCTCAGGTTATAGTCTCTAACTCGGAACAAATAATAGGGCACCTTAGTGATCTCTGCAAGGAGCGCTGCCTTGGACTTGCGGGAGAGGATGAGGATTTTCCTGTAACAAAAAAATAAAATAAAATTCAACTGTGTCTTGTGGCTTCTTGCAATTTATTTCCTACCTCATGCAACACTTTGTTGACAAATACCGGGGTGCTGTTGGGGCGGTAGAAGTGGTCGGAAGACATGGAAACGTTTATATTTTTCGTTTCACTAATGACGCTGATATGCAAAGAGTGGTGGAACAGAGCCCATATGCTATTCAAGGTGCTATTCTCATAGTGGATTATTGGCTACCCAATTTAATTTTGAATTGTAACAATGTGGCAAGTTTTGCGGTGTGGGTTCAATTGCATGGGTTACAACTTAAATGTTTCATGATGGAGGCTAGATTTCAACTAGAACGAGCAGTGGGTGAAGTTGTTGGTGTGGATTGTTAAAATGGTTGAAAGAAATGTGTATCTATATTATATTGAATGAATTGAATACAATAGGAGAGC